AAGCCTACCTGCTGTGGGACAAGGATGAATCCCAGATTTCATCACTAGGCCATCTGATCCTTATCATGATGGAAATGAAAGCCATGAGGTGTATAACTGGCGACTGGTTTGTCATCACACATTTACATCATTGGTGGAAGTCAAAATTACCCTACAATCTGTACTGATGGATTACTGTGATGCTCACTGTTATCTTGTGTCTGTGATGATGGATGACTACTTCACAGTTGTTACCTTGCCCTTGTATCTGAAATGATTGATGGTCTGTTTTCTGCTGATGTCTATCTCTATCAGTGATGAGTGATGGCTGTCTCTGTTATTTTCTCAGTAACTTTGTATTATTTCTAACCTCTCCAAAAAGGATCATCTTCTTTTCTTATCGTTGGTCCCTCTGATTTCTCCTTATTATCTTACAGCCTCTCTTTATTTTCCAAAGTATTCACCACAAACAGAACAAAAGCTATAGTTTTTGACAGCTTGCTTTCCTTTGCAATTGTCAGTTATTACCTCATCAATTGAGCATTTTCTATTTCAAATTGAAAGTGCACAGGAAGGATCTGCACCACAGAATGTTGGATATTTTTAATCACCCCTTCCATATGCACAAATGTTTGCATCTTTCAGTCAGATGAAATATTGGTCCGGATCTTCCAAGGAGCAGTAGTTCTCAGATTGTCACTTCGTTCAAGTTTTTCTCTATGTTGACACTTCTCCACATTTCTTACTAGGTTTCCCAAAGCAGCTTCTCCAAAAATGTGTAGCAATAGCTTCTTAAAGCTCCATTAGATTGGAGGAGGAAAGAGGGGTCAGACTTTTGTTTATACAGCATTAGCTGCTGAATGCCAGGTTTAAATGTTCAATGTGAAGGTGAGTAAATGAATGAGTGACTGGGTAGAATGTGTGAGCTAGGGAGATGGTGAGGTGGGTTAATGGCCAATCAGGCCGGGTTGAGGAGAAGAAATTAGGTGGTGGAGGGAGTGTAGTAGGCTAGTTGCACAGTGTGACGTCGGAGGAGTAATCTGGCCTCAGGGTCAGCACAGTTTGGTCAAGTTAGGATAGTCATTGACTCAGGCCAGACTGGGGTTAAATAAAAGATGAGGCAGTGGGCTAGGTGTAGCTTGTGGGCTGGTGTGGTTATTTGGAACTTTAAGATGAGATGATATAGATACATTTGAGTGTTTGGGAGGTCATTTCTGTAGTTACACAAGAGTTAGACAAAGAATTTTTTTTGTTTAATGGCTTCTGGGGTACCTATTCACGTATGGCACTGTGTGGCGTCTAGTTCAAACTTGGAGACTGAGATTTTGGGGAGAATCCATTGGAAGTTTAAACTTCCTGGCAATTCACACAGGGTTCGGTATGTCAAGACTTCTGCAACATCCCTACGCACATCTGGAGTCATAGGCCTGGCCTCCAATGATCCAGAGACTGGTAGATCGAGGCAATTGTAATTGAATTAAGTGCAAGACCAAGATGTTCACTTTGGTACCAGCGCTTAATTCTCCCAGTGATATACAGTATATATAACTGTACAATGTCTGGGAGAAGCTCATTGTGCAGAGGCCTTGAAGTCTTCTAGTATCACTATGTAAACTTTGGCCATTTGGGTGAAATATGGAAGTCCGTAAATATTTATAAATTTTAGCAGCAGCCAGAAGTTGCCAATCAGTGACTAACCTGTAAGTAATTGAGGTCCTTTTATACAATACTTTCTGCTGATGAGTGTGTACTCTGCTAGTTTAAAGACATTGGCTGAGGTACCGAGATCCAACCAATCCAACCATAAATGGATTTGAGGTTGACCAGGCTTGCTCCCCTGAAACCCATTTGCAAATTATGGAAATGAAAATTGGGAAGTGGCTGATTTGGCACCATGTACCACACTCAATCCTGAAACAATAGATACTCCTGAACCATGCTTTCTATCCTTCTTGTCTGTCTTAAAGAGAAAAAAGAACATGACAGAAAGAAAGAAAGAAAGACAATATAATATTTCAGAGTGAAGAAGTCCAATGACATTTTTGTGATTCAGTGCTAAACTTGCTACTTCGTTAGTGACTTTGTTTTGTCTCTTTGTCTTTTTAGGAAAAAGTGAGAAGTATTGGAAAGATCAGCAAACTGATTATTAACCTGTTGGACTGCATCATTTCACCTTTCAGTGGGCAACAAGTCCTGGAGCTCGACATGAATTCAAACATTCTGTCTTCGAGACCTGGGTGCCACATATGAATAACAAGACCTGCACATTAATCACTTCTGGTCATAAACAAAGGAAGGTTATACCTTCAAAGGAAATCTTTCTTAATCTATCTTTTCAGTCTCAAGCCCATGACAAACTTGTGAAGCCTATTTTAAAGTCATGTTCTTTTTTCTCTTTAAGACAGACAAGAAGGATAGAAAGCATGGTTCAGGAGTATCTATTGTTTCAGGATTGAGTGTGGTACATGGTGCCAAATCAGCCACTTCCCAATTTTCATTTCCATAATTTGCAAATGGGTTTCAGGGGAGCAAGCCTGGTCAACCTCAAATCCATTTATGGTTGGATTGGTTGGATCTCGGTACCTCAGCCAATGTCTTTAAACTAGCAGAGTACACACTCATCAGCAGAAAGTATTGTATAAAAGGACCTCAATTACTTACAGGTTAGTCACTGATTGGCAACTTCTGGCTGCTGCTAAAATTTATAAATATTTACGGACTTCCATATTTCACCCAAATGGCCAAAGTTTACATAGTGATACTAGAAGACTTCAAGGCCTCTGCACAATGAGCTTCTCCCAGACATTGTACAGTTATATATACTGTATATCACTGGGAGAATTAAGCGCTGGTACCAAAGTGAACATCTTGGTCTTGCACTTAATTCAATTACAATTGCCTCGATCTACCAGTCTCTGGATCATTGGAGGCCAGGCCTATGACTCCAGATGTGCGTAGGGATGTTGCAGAAGTCTTGACATACCGAACCCTGTGTGAATTGCCAGGAAGTTTAAACTTCCAATGGATTCTCCCCAAAATCTCAGTCTCCAAGTTTGAACTAGACGCCACACAGCGCCATACGTGAATAGGTACCCCAGAAGCCATTAAACAAAAAAAATTCTTTGTCTAACTCTTGTGTAACTACAGAAATGACCTCCCAAACACTCAAATGTATCTATATCATCTCATCTTAAAGTTCCAAATAACCACACCAGCCCACAAGCTACACCTAGCCCACTGCCTCATCTTTTATTTAACCCCAGTCTGGCCTGAGTCAACGACTATCCTAACTTGACCAAACTGTGCTGACCCTGAGGCCAGATTACTCCTCCGACGTCACACTGTGCAACTAGCCTACTACACTCCCTCCACCACCTAATTTCTTCTCCTCAACCCGGCCTGATTGGCCATTAACCCACCTCACCATCTCCCTAGCTCACACATTCTACCCAGTCACTCATTCATTTACTCACCTTCACATTGAACATTTAAACCTGGCATTCAGCAGCTAATGCTGTATAAACAAAAGTCTGACCCCTCTTTCCTCCTCCAATCTAATGGAGCTTTAAGAAGCTATTGCTACACATTTTTGGAGAAGCTGCTTTGGGAAACCTAGTAAGAAATGTGGAGAAGTGTCAACATAGAGAAAAACTTGAACGAAGTGACAATCTGAGAACTACTGCTCCTTGGAAGATCCGGACCAATATTTCATCTGACTGAAAGATGCAAACATTTGTGCATATGGAAGGGGTGATTAAAAATATCCAACATTCTGTGGTGCAGATCCTTCCTGTGCACTTTCAATTTGAAATATATAATGCTCAATTGATGAGGTAATAACTGACAATTGCAAAGGAAAGCAAGCTGTCAAAAACAGTTTTGCTGGTGTACTTTCTGTGACAGCAAGATTGAATAATAAAGCACAGGTGTTTAGTTCAGTCATTGGGCTGTTGTGCTTTTTACGACTAGGGGTAGAAACCACATCTCAGACGTATCTTATTTTATCTCACATCCTTACATTTGCACTCTCTAGCAGGTCTCCAGGCAGTGATCAGCTGTCAGTACTCAGGTGGACCTTAGGCTCCCTAACCAAGGAACTCTAAGATCAACTGGATCACCCTGACCATAACCTGCTGAGTTCAGCCATTTCACATAGACTAAACTGGGACATTCTGGGTTGGATGACTCAACTACAAGTTCAGTTGATTAACTGAACTACTGACTGTTTTTTCACACATTGTAGAGATGTAGGCATGCCATTTCTCGATTTCTCAGAGTGTAGTACTGTACACATTAAAATTCACAAAAAACATCTGTTAAGCAAATTTATCTATCTTTATGCAAATGACTTTATTCCATCACAGGCCTCATTCCATAATTCAATAACCTTCTGATGATTGTTCCTGTTTGACATATAGTTGCATATTCACATTAGAAATGAACTGAACAAAGAGAAAGCACTGACTTTATTCACATTTTAAGCCATTTGAAGATTAAAGCTTCTTTAAAAGTCAATTAAAAATTAATTGACTCACTAGAAATCAGCAGCAACATGCATAGTATGAAATTTTGATCTTCTGTCAGATTTCTCCTCAAGTGTCAGATGTTACATTTAATTTCACTGCTCTAAAAGAATGTTAGAAGATAAAATGGCGATCATATTATAAATCTAGTAGATAAACATGCATGAGAACTATTACATTGATGGCCATGAAAAAGCAGTCTGATAAAAAGGTATCTTTTAATTAAATATTATGAATAATTTGAAATGAAGGCTAGCATAAGCATGTTGATAAGTAAATGATCAAAAGCTGGAATATCTTCAATCAAAAGGAGGTAAAGCTATTCACTTATTTAGTTCAGTATTGCTGTGGACATACTTTGATATAAACATGATGAGGCTTGAGAGACTGTGAGCTGGCATTAATCTGAAACAATTTAATATAAAAGCATATCATCCAATTAGCTGACAGATAAAGTGATTCTGACCAAAATGCACAATTTCAGAGTAGCAAACTCACCAACTGTCAGTTGCCCAGTAATCTGTCCAAGGTTATTGCGAGCATTCACGGTTACATTTCTGTCAGATTGCAACATCAGTGGGCTGTCCTGAGAAATAATGACAAGAGAGGAAAAATGGGGTGGGAAGGATAAAAATGAAACGGAGGTGAGTTTGAAGAATGCAACTTAAAATCACCAGAAAGGGTTTACAGTTTCCTCCTCCCAATTCAAAGTCATTTAACTCAAATCATCTGCAACTTATTTTTGCAAGTGTTAAATTCTCACTTGACTGTGTCATTGCAATGTTATTTACATTACATGATTTTAACCTTTAGGTAATTCAACATTTTTAGCATTTAGAAATGACTGAGTTATCAAGTGTAGTTGGCATTCATCTTTTATAGGAATCTATTTTAAGGCGCTTTAGCAAAACATTTACATTCTTATTCAATCATTTCTCTTACGAACATTGTTAGACACACAAAAAGGAAATTAGTGACTAAATTTAAAATGATTTGTTTTCTAAGCAACACTTTGGATCCAGCATAACTCTATCTGTTTCTATTCATTGAAATACCTAAAGGTAGTAAATAAGGGGAGAAATCAAGCTTGGTGGATCCATTCATGTGTGTGAATTGCACACAGGAGAGCAAAGTCATGTAAATATTATGTTTATTTGTTCGGGGATGTGGATAATACTGGCTAAGCCAATGTTAATTAATTTCCATCCTTAATGACCCTGGAGAATGTGGCAATGTGCAGCTTTGTTGAACCATTGCAGGCCTTGAAGTGTAGGGACACTTGCAGACACCTGTAGGATTCTGATCCAGCGACAATGAAGGAACGGCAATATAATCCCACCATATAGTGGCATTCCCATGTGTCTGCTGCTCTTGTCCTTCTAGGTGCTGAAAGCTGCAGGGTTGGAAATTGCTGAGAAATGAGCCTGAGTGAGTTGCTGCAGTGCATCTTGTAGATGGGGCATATTTCTACGACTCTGTGCTGGTAGTGGAGGGCAGTGCCAATTAAACGGGTTGCTTTATCCTGGGTGTCAAGCTCTTGAGTATTGTTTGATCTATATCAATCCAGTCAAGTGGAGGTTATTCTATTACAGTCCTGACTTCTGCCTTGTGGACAAGCATTTTAGAAAGAGAGAGCGGGTCGGCACAGTGGCTCAGTGGTTAGCACTGCTGCCTCACAGCACCAACAACCTGGGTTCGATTCCACCCTCAGGCAACTGTATGGAGTTTGCACATTCTCCCTGTGTCTGCATGGGTTTCCTCCAGGTGCTCTGGTTTCTTCCCACAGTCCAAAGATGTGCAGGTTAGGTAAATTGCCCATAGTGTTCAGGGATGTGTAGGTTAGGTGGGTAACAGGGCAATGGGTCTGGGTGGGATGCACTGAGGTTCAGTGTGGACTTGTTGGGCCGAAGGGCCTGTTTCCACACTGTAAGGATCCTATGATCTATGATAAGAGAGAGAGGAAGTGTGTTATTCTTGCAGAATGGAAAGTCTTTGATCTGGTCCAGGCTAGGATCAAAGAAAGGAGCTCTTCAGTTTCTAACTAAATAACACAAACCTCTGATTAAACATGCTTATTATATACAGGAATAGCTGTTTTAATTTGTTCCTAACTATTCAAGCCTAATTTACACATTCAATCTATGGGTAAGCTCTACAATGTGCACCTCCTCTGAACTCTGCCTGGTGAGTGCACAAATTTTACAAATAATACCATGGGCATCTTGCTGTAAGTTATTGCAATTGCTTAGCATTGAAGTTGGAGCGGGGTCAGAGTTCGAGCTCACTGTGGAAGTGAGCACTTTCATTTTCATTAGAACTATAGAGGTAGATAATGATTGTTCCATTTATTTACATTTATTAAGAACAAAGGAGAAAAGCAAAATCCACTTGATGGTTAAATATAAAAATAACCTTGATTACTATCTTTCACAAAATTTGATATATTTTGATATATGTGAATATTATAATAACAATGAGAAATATTGTTATTTTGATTTCCATACTGTGTTTAAAGTTACACAAATAGCAAAATACCTACTTATAAAATTGTAGTCTGATGGACCATAAGGTGCTGTTCACACTTCATTTCACTTAGAATTTGCAAAATAGAAGCAAAAATAGACAATTCTGCTCCAATACTGCAATATCACTCAAAGCTAGTTTACATCCCAACAACTATTGCATTGGCTTTGGAATTCTTGAAATCCTTACCAAACAAAATTCTATCATTTCAATCCTGTGCTACACACAGTCACCCATCTAACACCCTATGACCTTGCATCTTGATGCTAATTCGCACAGATTCCATTATAGGCAGACTTTAGGAGCTATGCTGAAATTAAACAAAGATCTAAACATATTTGAAAGAATCCAATGTATACAGTTCAATTCATGAAATGCACATGTAGACTTAAAACCGTGTTCTCTTATAAAAGTATAGTTGCATTTATAACCCCACATCAAAAGCAACTAACATGCTAAAAATCTATTTCAGCTGCCAATCAAATTATGAACTTCCAAACACTTCCCCATTCCCCAAGCAGCAAACGTACAATGCTTCAGAAATGGCAGCTGAACATTGACATCTAGATGCTCTCCAGCATTTTTAAAAATCATTGGAGTCTCCACAACTCCATGGAAATCCAGATGATGAGGCTGGTCAACGCCATTTTGAATACTTGCATGTGGATCCTTAAATTCCTTGTTGGAATCTTCTGCCATTATTTAATGTAAGACTGGTAGAATCCCAAAGAAATTACAAACAGCCATTTGCAGCCACTTGTGTTGCTTTTGGTGGGTTTTGCTAGCCTCCCATTAAAGCTCTGGCATGAATCCAGGAGGATCTCTGCAAAGTGTTAGGGCCTCAAAGTCTATGAATGAGCTGCATCCACATGCGGTTGTATATGTAAGATTTCAAATTATGTGTTGGGTTGTGACAGGAACATACAATGACTCGAGAGTTAGGATGAGAAATAGCAGCTGAAGATTGACGGTCATGTAACCTTAAACAGTGGGGAAGGGTAAATCGATATTGGGCAAATGAGAGCCACCAAAAGTCAATTACACAAAGCAACTAAGCTACTATTTCAGGATTTGTCTCTCCATCAAATTGTGCCCTCCCTCCTCTTATACAGAGATTAATTCTTTAGATGGAGAATGACTGCAAGAATGGCACAGCCAAGCTCTTGCTCGAATGGTTAGGCATTCACATGTGAGACTTGATCACTTATATAACAAGGCTGCCCAGATGGCAAGGATAACACATTCAAAACAAATCTTTTCTCAACTGTCATCCACCCATGTAAACTTTGTTTAAATCTCACTCTAGAGTGAAATGTAAAAGCGTTGAAAGAAATTGTAAGCATCAAAAATCGAAATAAAACAATTTATGATAACTCACAGGAAGTCAGTTAATTTCTGTAGTAACTAAATGTAGGTTATTACAAAAATAAAATACAGCATGGGTTTGAGCATTCAAATAAACAGAAAATGTTGGATACAGCAGCTCGGGCAACATTGATATTTTCGCTTTCTATACTGTCTAGATGCAAAGCTCATGTCAGAAAATTTCCTGGCTCACCATGAAGACCCCATATATGTTTTTGACTCCTCCAAGCTGCAGAAGGATTAGGTCAGCCACGGGCTGCTTTCCAGTTATGTTCAAGTCTGTTCAACCTTCTGGCACACACACCTCGCACCACATCAACCAACCACCCCCTCTGCATGTCACCCATGCTAACTTCATGCCCATCCATCCACTTTTAAAAGAGAAAGGGCCTGTATTCGCAGTCTGAAGTGGAGGATTTGCTTTGATTGATTAAAATTTTTATGTGGTAATCACAAGTGATTCTTCCTATGATCTGTGCTTATTCAATGCCTGTATCTTTGTACAAAAAGAGCTTTTAAAAAAAAATTCTGTACTTTTGATTGTGGACTGAAATAGGTAAAAAATTGTTTTAAGAGCCCAAGATTGCTAAAGGATTACTGCAGTTTGTAAAAATAAGTAACCGGACACTCATTGTAGTACTGTTTACACAGCTGTTGGTTCAAGCAGTAATAGAAGAAGATCCAGACACTCTGCAGCCAAGGGTTTGTACAAATGGAGATTCAGCCGGCAACAGTTAGCTGATTGGTCTGTTGACAGCTAGTGATAACTTCTATCAGAGATAGTAGGAACTGCAGATGCTGGAGAATCCGAGACAACAAGGTGCAGGGCTGGATGAACACAGCAGGCCAAGCAGCATCATAGGAGCAGAGAGGCTGACGTTTCGGGCCTAGACCCTTCATCAGAAAAGTTCTGCCTGTCAACAACTATGTGATTAGTTCCCAGGATAGTTGAACAACAAGGGACTGTGAACAAGTTCAGAGAAGTATTTGCATCTCCCACAGCTCAGGAGCTGTGGCTTTTCTCTGCAGCAAAAAAAAAACACCTTACGCCTGAAGAAAACCAACTTATTTTTCCTTCAGTAGTTGCTATTATTTATGACTCTTGATGAACAAATCAGAGACCTGACAAATCAGAATAAATCACAGAAGGTAGGTCTGCAGGTACAACAAGTAATTAGGAAGACAAATGGAATTTTGTCCTTCATTGCTAAAGGGATTGAGATTAAAAGCAGAGAGGTTATGTTGCAGCTGTACAAGGCGCTGGTGAGGCCACACCTGGAGTACTGTGTGCAGTTTTGGTCTCCTTACTTGAGAAAGGATGTACTGGCACTGGAGGGGGTGCAAAGGAGGTTCACTAGGTTGATTCCGGAGTTGAGGGGGTTGGCTTATGAGGAGAGACTGAGTAGATTGGGATTATATTCATTAGAATTCTGAAGATTAAGGGGGGATCTTATAGAAACATATAAAATTATGAAGGGAGGAGATAAGATAGAAGTAGAGAGGATGTTTCCACTGGCAGGTGAAGCTAGGACAAGAGGGCATAGCCTCAAGATTAGAGGGAGCAGATTTAGGACTGAATTGAGAAGGAATTTCTTCACCCAGAGGGTTGTTAATCTTTGGAATTCCTTGCCCAGTGAAGTAGTTGACGCTACTTCGGTAAACATTTTTAAAAAAAAGGTAGATTTTTTTTGAACAAAG